GTAGTATAGTAAGTGCTTGTTGACTGCAAACTCATTTGTCTTTCGTTGCAAACTTTTCTGAACAATTTATATTCTCAATGAACATGCTTTTTTCGCTGTTGTTTCGGTATTAATTCTAAAAACTTGTATTTAAACTAATTTCTATGTAATAAATGCATTTGGTAACCTGTCAAATTTTTTGGAGAGTTTTTCCTTGTACTATGATTATCTTTCTCAAAGCGAATATTTTCAAAAAAAAAACTCATGTAGTTTTTGGACGGCCATCTTGTTTTTCGCTACTCGATTAAAAGCGCGCACGATTAAAAGGAGTATATTATATTTCGGTTGCAAAGTAGGTTCACGAGTTTTCGCTTTACTTCTGGTATTATTTGTTTTCGAATTCGGGCTATCTTTCCTATATTGTGTACCATTTAATTGTTTTGCACTTAGCTGTTGCCCGGGTTACTACATCCAATGCAACAATAGAACCATTCGGTGAAACAATGGGGCATTCAAAGTTAGTTATAATTTCGCACGGTTGAGGACATTCGATGAAACTTACTACATCTTACTACTTCATACATACTCAGGGTTTTCACTTCCGCTATTCCCCCAAACAATAGGACCATCCGGTGAAACACTAAGACATTCAAAATTAGTTATGATTTCGCACGGCTGAGAACATTCGGTTGGAATTTCCAGGGACTTAATTATACTTTTCAAATTTTGGATTTTGTTGTGATTTTCTCGTACTACTACCTCTATATTCTGTTCCAGTTGCCTATATCGTTCTCTCTCGTTTAAAAGATCATAATTTATAATTTAACTTAATTATTTCCTCACTCTCACGTGCCACCAGGGTCCAGAGCCGTTGCGACGACTTTGCACCAGGGTGTGTGTGAGGTTAGATTTACTTGAATTTATCAAAATTATTGTTTTTATCTGATTTTAGTCACTAACTAATATTTCTCCCAATCATTGTTGGCGAGCGGATCATTGTTGGCCAGCGGGGGGGGAGGGGGCGAGGTCTCAAAAAATTTTTTCCGGACATACCACAAATTGTTCCTAGTATACTGTGATTTTCGCGAACATACAAAAATTTTTCCGGATGTATCATAATTTTTCTCAAAATACGAAAATTTTTCCGGACGTAACTTTATTTTTCATAAAATACTAAAAATGTTTCCACAAATATAGTTATTTTTCCAAATTCACTTTCTCATGCCCTGAGAAGTACCTGAATTTAATTACCTGATTTTCTGGAAATCTACCTGAATTTGCCTAAAAACCTACTGGAAATCTCAGCACGAGGTCCACCTTTGAATTTACTATATGTGTAAATTAAATTTCCTAAACACGTCCGAATTTATCATTCTGATAAATTCGCGGCACATTTTGAATTTATCATAATAATAAATTCGCGGCACCTGACACTAACCCTAATTCCAACCCTAACCACTAACCCCCAACCACTAACTCCTAACCCCTAACCACTAACTCCTAACCCCTAACCACTAAGTCCTAACCCCCAACCACTAACTCCTAACCCCTAACCACTAACTCCTACCCTAACCCTAACTTTTTAAACTTTTTTGAAAGCCTAACTTTTTAAAATTTTAAAACTTTTTTAAACTTTTAAAACTTTTTCAAAAATTATTTTTTTGAAAATCTTGAAAATCTCTCGACATCTTTTTCATGAAATAATAATGAATTGCATGTCATTACAAAGTCACAGTCCAAACCTTCGAACTGCTTCGCTCTGCCACAAGGAGATTTCCACTTGCCATTCAACCCAACAACATTTTCGATAAAGTCTTTCAATAAACAGAGATGCTGTGTCCATCCAATACGCTTTCCATCGTACACTAAATGTGACTCACTATTTAGCACTTTTAGTATAGAGTTGATAGCGACATTTTCGAAGCTAAAATTTGTAAAACGTCGCGAGCTTAAAAAACCATGGCATACGCTTTTTTCCCTTATATTAGAGAGATATCCATATTAGAGATGTTCACATTAGAAAGGTGGCTGTATTAGAGAGGTATCCGTATCAGAAAGGTGTCTGTATTAGAGAGATGTCCGTATTAGGGAGGTGTCGACGTCCATTTTAAAATGTACCGCCCTTTCACATTTATTTTCATCTTATGACATTATAATATATAGGTTTAATATATAAGCCTGGCTTTTCAAGAAAGATGCTTTGGATATACAGTGTTAAAACGGCAAATGTCTATATATTTTGTAAGTTAAAGCAATTTAGTTTTATCTGAGACTAGATTATAATAAATCACGTTGAATCGTTGAGGAAAGACGAAATGGCTTCCTACAAATTAGTAATTAACACGTACCTTGGTGTAAAACTAGAAATACATGCATGCAGCAACACCTCGCCTATATTTTCCAAACATTGATTTAACATGAAGCATCACTAATTGATCAACAATGAACGCAGGCTCGCGTCTACGTCGCGTTTACGCCGTGGCACAGAATAAAGATCAGTACCAGAAGTGCCACTCAGCGGTGCAACGTGTCGCCATTTTTCTATGCAAAAATATGCAGTTGACTGGCCAGAAGGCGTGGCCTTCAGCCAATACAGGGCGTTTATTGGCCAGAAAATGTAATCGACTGGCTAGGAAGATGGCGGCCAGGATGACAGAAACTTCAAAGCTTCCGACGTAAGTGGTCCTTCTGTGTGCCTTATTCTGTGGCCGTGGCAACACGGCAAAAATAGCTGAAAGATTATTGCGTTTAACTATATAACAATGAAATTCCAAAACAGGTACTGTAGGTACCGGTATGTTGTTCTGGATTTTGTTATCTTTGAATTGATTTATTAAATGTAAAATTAAACCTTAATCGCTTCGTAAAATGCTTTGAAATGTTCATTTTAATAACTAAACTGCTTTGCCGGTAAACTGTTTTTACTTCAAATTGTTAGTAATTTCAGTTAGGTCTTCAAATTAATTTGCTCTCCTTTACATTTTATATAAATTTGGAAAACTTACAGCTTCATTGAATAGGAAAACAGCCGTGCATGTTTACGCAATAAATTACTAAAGCAACAAAATTCATAAACATTAAATATTCAAAGCAAACTAGTACTTGCCCTATATTTCATGATTTTCCATAGTAAATCAATTCTTCTCATTAATTTCTTCAAACAAAAATTGCTTCAAAGTTCATTGTGTGAAACGTAATTTTCCAAATATATGCTTTTGAAAATCGACATATTGCTTTGATATCCTCATTGTGTTTATCCCACTCCTGGCAAACAGCCATATTTTTGAGATCAGTGAGGAGGTCCACCCATGAACCACAGTCACGCGCCCACGATCATTGATGAACTTTAGACTTTGCTTTCCTTTCCCCGTGTGTTAATAGCCAGGCAGAATTAGTACCCTCGCCCCGGGCTAATGCCCGGAGCGGCGCTCCGCGCCGTTGGCTCGGGGATAATATTAGAGAGTTTTAGATTGACGTATTTTCGTATTTCCCGCTAACCGCAAACGGCTAAAAATCACATGACAGCCATTTTGCCGTCAGGTTACACGTTCGAAGTAGACGTTTCTACGCGAGGGAAGCTGTTTTCAGGTAGGTAGTTTCCCTCAAGGTTTTCATGCATTTTTTTGTTCTTTTTCTCGCGTATAAACATGGCACTTATGTTTATTATCACTATGACTTTCTTTCTTGCATAAAATAAGGATCAGAAACTACTATCTTCGACTGAAATATTGTGTCGAATTCAGTTGATGTCAGTAAACAAAATGGCGTGCCTCTGATTGCGGGAAAAAGCATAGCCCAAATGCATAGCTGATTTACATTGTTTTTGTTGTTATTTGGTTTTCTCATAATTTTGAGATTTAAAGTTTTACTCTTAGGCTAATTTTGTTGCGAATTTTACATAAAATCTGTTTGTGTCTAATACAGAACTTTGAAAAATATCATGACCAGTGACCATAAAACCCTTTCGAATTCGTTGGCCAAGCATACAACATGATCTTGTATTGGCTATGGAGGTTGCAAGCTGCCGGATACAAAAGTCCGTCCGTCCGTCCGTCCGTCCGTCCGTCCGTCCGTCCGTCCGTCCGTCCGTCCGTCCGTCCGTCGTCCGTCCGTCCGTCCGCCCGTCCGTCCGTCCGTCCGTCCGTCCGTCCGTCCGTCCGTCCGTCCGTCCGTTTGTTTGTTTGTTTGTTTGTTTGTTTGTTTGTTTGTTTGTTTGTTTGTTTGTTTGTTTGTTTGTTTGTTTGTTTGTTTGTTTGTTTGTTTGTTTGTTTGTTTGTTTGTTTGT